TTAAATTTTAAATATTGGTTAGTTCTCTATTAAAATGGGATGGTGCCATATTTTCAGAGCTTTTATGTATGTAACGATAATGGAAAATCCATGCTGCTTTGAACAAAATACTAATAGTAAATGCCAGAGATCGCAGGTACGCAATGTTTGGTTTGGTTTGGTTTATTTCAATATGACAAAGCATGCTAGGTCTGGTCTATGTGACTGAGAGAGAGAGATGTCTTTGTTGAGGGCTTTCTAAGGGAACTTGTTCGTATCTAAGTTACACAAAGGGAAAACGATGGAAACACCCGTGCAGGCAGACAGCCCATTTGCTTGTAATCGAACCTAGGTGGAACTACAAGTGTTCAGCGAATTTTATCGCTCGACCGCTGTTGGCCGAGGTAAGCAATGAAAGTACTATTTTCCATAATATTATTTTCAGTCATTTTTATATTTTACAGAATAAACTCTGAATATTCCTTTCCGGAGTTTAAGATTACTAAAACATGCATTTAAATCCAACTCTCATTAGGAAATTATTTCTGAAAATCTCAAGCAGCTTGTATTGAATGACAAATGAAATGATAAGCTTAGCCTATCCAAAAATCATGCAATTTCTTAAATCATTTATTCTCCCGGAATACTTAAATTCCTGTTTATATATGTTACTGATGTAACGGATATTGCAATAATTCTGGATTAACAGTAAAACTTAATTTACTTCTTGAAACTTATGAAGACTGTTTAAAAATAACACTAGCGTAAATTTTAATTTCTGAAAAAGTTTCAATTCTTGTGTCTCTGTAACATCGATAATATTTTACTGATTCACTTAACTGTAAACTATTTTACTCGAAGCATATTTTTACGAATATTGATGATTCATATGGAAATCTTCATACAAAATTAATACTTCTGTCAGATAATATATGACCTTTTAAGTGTGTTTCATATCTCATATCTAGAATCCCATTTTTAGAATCAAACGATATAAATATCCGGCTTTTAAACATAAACGTAATTTTAGATTGTATTAAAGTATGAGCAGGAAATTAAAGTTTTAAAGGTTATCAAGACTGCCATCCATCATAAAAACTGAAATTTGCTTGCATATTTATTACCTAAATGCTAAAGTTCAAAAGAGTATTTATATTATATGAAATATTAGAGGCAGTATAGAAACGGTATGATACTAATTTCACAACTTACATCCTTATCTAAGGATATACATTATAAATCTTGCACTGCTATTAACATATTTGTAAATATTTTAAAACTTTATCACCGCTGAAATTATATACATGAAACATTCCGCAAAACATAAATTATTATTTAATTTATAAGGTATTTCTCCCACGTTCTTGGCGTGCCTTCGTGGTGTAGTGGTTCTGCACGCTGGGCCGGTATTCCAGAGGTCCGCGGTTCGATTCCTGGCAAAGGCAGGTTGCTCATTTTTCATCTCTCCAGCTTCCAAAAAATCCTAATGACTCTACAGATTTAATTTAAAACTTTTGTGAAATGTTGCCAGTTCTCATGAACAGACTTTGTTCACATTTTACAGAACAAAATTTTTTCATGATTTCTTGAGTAAGATTTCGACAACTTCTTTGTATAACGAGGAATTATTCATCTTCACATATTATGTAAAGTACTTAAGAAATTCCTTTGACTTCAAGCTTCAATTTCTGCGTTCTGTTTGCAAGCTATATAGAGAAGCTTAGTCTTCCCTAAGTAACGAATGCGAAAATTCAGTCAGTTTTTTTTATCAAGTACTAATATTTGAGAAAGGTCAATAAAAAATTCCCCTACAGCGTAAATTTGCATTAGTTAGAAAACTGCATTCTATAATATATTTAAAATATAAAACTTAGTTCTAAGTGTAAGTACATAATGTTTCTACATAACTAATTAAACAGGTTAAGATAAATACTTTGAGCAATATTTTTGTTTAGATGCATGTATGAAATAATACTATACGAAAGTAATTTGGGAAGACCATTTTATGATATTTCATCATAATAAATATTTACAATTACTGACAGTCGCTTTTCAGGGTTATTTATTTGATCCTGATATCAGTATCAAAACTATAACAAACAATTAAACTGTTTCACTGGTTAGAGACCTATCGACATAATTTTATAAATGTTGATAATTTTATAAATGACATGATGTCATAATTTTATAAATGACATATTTAAATAAATAATTATAATTTTATAAATGAATCATAATTGAACGGAAAACGACTCTTAATAAAGCTTAAGCTCTTAGTAAAAATACTTCCAGAAAAAATTTAAAAAGTATTAACTAACCATAGACTAATTTGTTTAACTCCTTAATAGGCAGGTCTTCAGAGATTTTTGAGCTCAGATTTCATTCCGTTATCCGGATTACAAGTTAGCAAGTTATCTGCTAATTACATTGGAATTATGAATGCAGCATTCAGTACATAGTTGATTTTAGTTCGCATTTTAATTTTTGTAAGTAAAATCCATTTATGTAATGTCTCCACAACTACAAATTGCTATATCGCACGAAAACATGCTGATTTTAAAGGTTGCATGTTTTGCACGCATAAGTTTATATTCAATAAAATACAGTTAAAATGTTTTTATGCACTAAGCTTTTATTTAAAATGTATATGATAACTGATGCTCTAAAAGGAGAAAAATAATTTTTTACATAGTTTAATGTAGGGTTCTTCAACCCGTAGCCCGCGGCAACGAGTGGTAGAACGAAGGTATTTTAGTGGCCCCACATTTGAATTTGAGGAAGCATTGCAGAATTTTAAGAAATTTTGATTTTAAGAAAAATTGTTTTGTCAGCTTTTTGTCGTAAAAAAACTTTTTTTAATCTTATTCTTGATATTTAAAGCATTTTATTGACATGCCTGATATTATTTGAGATAGAAGTTTCTGAAAATGATCTCAATGATTTGAGCTACCGCTTACTGGAAAAAGATCTACTTATTCACAATCTGTATTATTTTATGAAAGCTTTTGAGACAAAATTAATCCTGTCCGTAAGTCAGTTGCTAAATAAGAATTCCACTCACTTTCCAAAATTGATGGAGTGTGTGAAGAACTCTACAACATGGAATTCAAATAATTTTGCACAACGCATTTCAAATTTGAAAGAGGAATTAAAAATTTTCGTGAAATTCCATTTTCGTGAAAATGCAATTTTATCAGAATGTTATAATCGCCATTTTCAGTAGACGTTAGAAGTGTTCCACCTGAACTTCAATTAGAATTTATAGATTTACACTGTGACTCTGCAATAAAATGCAAGTTTCTTGAAAATCCTACATTAATTGATATTTATTCGAAGTACGTGACCGAAGACAAGTATCCAGGAATTCGTAAACATGCACTCTTCATGTCTTCTATCTCTGGCAGTACCTTCATATGTCAACAGCTTTTTATGGTTTGCAACAACACAGATTAAATTGGATATTGAAATTTTAATCAGGAATAAACAATGTCAAATTTCGCATTAAAACTAAAGTAACTTCCATCCCCGCTAGTAATGTAAATTTTTTTAAGTAAATGCATTTTGTAACATCGTTCTTGTGTTCGTTCTGCATTTTGTAACATCTATCTTTATACTTTTTCCATAGTTAAAAAAACTGCAAAACATTTAAATTCGGTTTCCACTTGACTTTTTGGAACCAATGCATATATACACAAATCTGTAACACTATCTCTTCGCTTAGAATTAATTGTAATCTTGTAAAACAAACTTCCCTTTTTTATGTAAATTTTCTGACTACACTATTTTTGACAAACATGTGGCCCGTGGATCTTTGTGAATTCATTGATGTGGCTCTCGGGTGTGAAAGGTTGAAGACCCCTAGTTTAATGGATATAATAGATTCAATAATTCTAATAACAGCATTATTCCACGATTTGATACCGAGAAAACTAAAAGTGGGGGGGGCGCCCCCGTAAATTAAAAAGGATAATGACTTACACATTTGACAATGAAATTAATTAACAAATTTCTTAATTTAGGGATCTCATGCATTTATTATTCACGATATAAAATTGTAGATGAATTCTGTAAATAGAGTTATTTCATTTATTATTCTTATTAAGCTATAAAATAAGTTATTTCTCCTTGTTTAGTGTATTAATTATCATATTTATTTTAAGTAAATGCTTATTGCTTATTGTATAAAATCTTTTTTCAATTGTATTTTATTTTATATCTTTTAGTCTCAGGTATACGTTATCAGTGATTAAATGTTTATTCATTATTAAAGCCAAAGCAATAAATTATAAGAATGCAATGAAATATAGAAAAAAAAAACTGGACTTTATTCAGAGAACGAAAACATCACTTTGAATATTCAGTTTCGCAAATTGTACGAAATAAAAAAATATCGCCTATTCGTCGTTAAAGTGCGCCAAGATGGCAAACTTGAAAAGCATTATAATTCCGTTTGCTTCAAACTGCAACACATTTAAAAGAACTAGAAAATCGCTAATTTAATATTTTTTTACCATTATTGCTTTAAAAAGAGAGCGAAATGTTTGTTCTTTAATCTCTCAAAATTTCAAAACTTTCAGTCCGAAACATTTTTAGATATTGAAATTTTAAAATTATGTACGTCAAATAATCTAAAAGATAGAGCTATTTTCAAAAATTCAGTAATTAAGTTCCAGTTTTCATACAAGTTTCACTGAAAAGACTTATTCCCGCTTTGTGCGATGGTGCAACAAAATAATTAATGATAAAATAAACCGTAAAATGTTTAGTTTGTTAGTTAAACGAAGATATGTGCGAAAAATCGGTTAAACATCAAAAAGAAAAAATAGCTGAATCTAGCCTTGAAGCAATTCCTTTACCACATTACATTGTCATCGAACAACAGCGCATGTAGTAAACTTGAACTCTTTAGGAATTAGCTTTATCAGGAATTAGCTTGAAAATATCTAAATAAAAGTTTATAAACATAGTATATTGTAAATGTAATGTGAGTTAAAATAATGTTAAAATTTGTGTCATTTAAGATTGAATACGTTTGGACCACAGCAGTATCACATTCGCTGTGAGGGTAGACATCCGAAACTTTACCAGAAGACAACGAACGTGGAAACAGAGTGAAAACATACCTCTCCGACGAACTGGTACAGGACTGGCTATTAGATGAAACACTGCATAATTCGCCAGCGCATCTTTGGTGGTGAACATTGTTTGTGTGCGGAACTATACTGTAAAACCCGTTTCCGTGTTGAAGAATACGTAATGCAACAAAACATGTATATAGGGGCTTTTCTGAAAGGCGACAGTTTTTACCTTTCATGAAATGAATGCATATTAAAGCAAAAAATGTAACTATTATGAACGTTAATGTTTCATATTACATATTTAAATGCTATGATACGCAGCTATCACTCTTTAGAGTATTATTACATAAATTCAATTTTGTAACTATAAATTGTAAATAAATCTAATTGCTGAACATTTATTTTTTTTTTCTTTTTCCCTAAGACTTGTTTATAAATTCTGCACAAAATATAAATATCGCAACTTAATGTTATCATCCTCTACATATGTTTAAGATATCCAAGAATTGATTTCTTAATTTCTAAGAAAGCTCTCTTCGAATCCTTAGCCCTTTTATCCTAGCAGGTTTCCTCACCAGCTAATGTTTCTGGTGTCAGATCTCGTAGCAGGCATAGTATATTCACATGAAGCCGTTACTCAAATATTACAAATTTTGTAAAAAACAAAATGAGTATTCCAAAAAATTTCACTGGTTGTCATTGCAATGTATATTTTGAAGTAATTACAAATTTGTCAGTAATCATTATATGCTTACATCATAAGTTCTATGAACTGAAGAAAATTCCTTTACTTTAGCAAGAAAAAGTGGTTTTAAATTTATCTTCTTTAAATTTATCTAAATAGTAAAAGCTTCGATCACGGTTTATTTTTTCTCTCCAGTTTTATGTTATTATATGTGCTTACGATTACACACTAATTATAAGAATAAATATGAAATTGGTGCATTATAAAAAATACTTCAAGGGCAATTTTTAAAATTTTTTTTAAATGCCATTTTTCTAGAAAAGCAAATTACTACTCAAAACCCCTGCGTGCAACACATGATGTTTTAACATCAGATTCGGACTAAACGTGTTCTGTATTACAAGGAATATTGGGATTTCCTGACAGAACAATATATTTTATTACTGAGCAAATTACACTGCAACAGGTAAATACATTTTTGAAGCTTAATAGGCGCTTTTACAAAATTAATAAACTTAAATTGGTAAATAGCTATTTAAGACGATAATCCATTTACGTGGCACAATCTTGAGTGATAAATTCTGAAAAAAAAAAAAAAAAAAAAAAACCTAAATGAGCAAGACCATTTACACTGAGAACAACAGTACATATGGAATAACGTTACGTTTTATACGACACCAAACTCTTTCAGCACTTTGGTTATTAAACACTGGGAATATTTTTTCAAGATGTATTAAAGTTTGAAGTTAATGTTATTACATTATTCCTAGTCCATTCAGTTTGTTTTTCTTAATATACTGATGTAGAAGTTTGATGAATATGGCTTAAATGCGTTAATGATAGAACTTACTATTTCAGATTGATTAGCAAATGATGTTACCATTACGCTATTAAGTAAATATTTTAGAAGCCATAATATATAAACAGAAACGTCAAGAAAATTTTATGCACCTATTTCTTAAATTTCATAACTTGCCTTTGCAAAGTCTTTTATCACAACTGAAGGTATAGACTTTATTTAACTACGTAAACATCATGTGGAAAACTCTACAGGACAGTTATCATTTTCAAAGAAATAATATATACATTATACTCCACAGGTAATAGCTAGACTCTTACTCTGATACTTTAATTGTAAAATAAAACTTAGAGAAAAGTCAGTAAATTTATATACGCATTTATTTTATATAATTATACGTCGTCTAAAAAAGGTAATTTCTACGACCAGCAAAACGCTATTTATGGAAATATTTCGCCTGTTGACAATAGTTCCCAAAGCAGCTGATAAATCAGACCAAGGAAACACTTTATCCGTATAATCAAATTTCAATACACATTCAAGTTATTACATAGGAATATGTTTGTATTTCTCCTCGATATCAAAAATATGAATATGCAGAAGCATTTTTGAAAGACATCGTGTAATGTAAAATCAGATTTAGAGTTCCGTTAATTTTAGAGAAAATCTTCAAGCATTTTTAACTGTTTGATAATTGCATTTTTGACTCAAAATAGCAAGTAAAATTGAGCCATTTTCGAAATTTCTTTGATAAAATAATAAAGCGATTAAAAGTCTATACAACGTCATATATAACAAACTAAAATGCAAAGCAATAATTGATAATAATAAATCATACTAAAAAAATAAGAGATAATGTCATAAGCCAAAGTCGACAGATTTTTATAAGTATGGAAGGCCTCAAAAACATTTTAGGATAATTTTAAAAGATGACTAAAATTAAAAAAAATAATTAAAGGACTAACAGTGAGCAGAGTTGGAGATTTACTGATACCCTCTCCCCTGTTAAAAATTCATGTTTTAATGCCCTTTTAAAGAAAAATTTAGATTGCAATCTATTTTAAACAATACTTATTTTTTCATGAAAAAAATGCAATGTTGAATGATGAAAGGTTTAATCTTGGATTTTAGTGATAGAAAGCAAAATAGCTTAACAGAAACTGAACAGGAGCGAATTTCCTCTTTTAATAAATTTTTTTGTTAAAAGTAATTTTGAAGAGCAAATATTGAACACACACACATATGCTCGCCCACACGTGCACACAGAAAAACAGGATAATGTCATTTATTTTGGTTACAAGAATCACAGAATTTTAGATTAGGATTCGAATAAATGGCTCTAAAATTTAGAATACAATTAAATCTAACCTGCGTCATTGAGATGTAAGAAAAAGAAAGGAAATTGCGAGATTAAAATTCAGAAATTAAGTAAATGAAGAAATCAGTGAAATGCTTATCATGTCAAACAAATTCTCCCCTCTTCAAATGTAAAAATGTGGTTTAAACACAATAAACTAAATATAAATATAATACGACGGCTAACACCTCAGTTTATTTATTTATTTACGGCGGGCACTAACCCTTTTAGGCTTTGGCTAATAGTGGTCATTTTATTAGAGGCACCTAACAGATGGCCACCATTACCTCCTATGAAAAAACAGACAATTTACATACATACCTTTTCCGAGATTCAAACCTCGGCGTTTAGCACAGTAATCAGAGTCACTAAGCACTTCCTCGTGTTGGTGGACCTCAATTTAATTACATGAGAAATGGTAATAATACACCTTTAAACCATTCGCGCAGTTCATTTTATCAGAAATGAAGCATTCACTGCAACAAAATAATAATTCTATTTCCTGAATCATAACGTATTTGAACCCAGTAACTCGTAAAGAATTGTCATAGCTAATTAGATAACTAAAATAAACTTTCTCCGGCTCAATCGAATTTTTGCCTAAATTAAAAAGAGAAAAGCGAAATATTTATATTGCATTAAATGTAGCAAATTCTTTTTAGAATGGTGAGTATAGCAAAGAAAATCTTAATAAATGGCCTGAACCATTGGATTTTCAAACTTATTTATATTTTTTTGTCTAACAAAACAATAAACTACGAGTATTATGATTACTGTGAACAGAAATAAAGGAAATGGTGCTATAGGAAATATTAATCTAAACTCTTTCCCTTTTTCAGTATAAGTTCCCTTTATGAAAATTCACCTTTCAAAGGGGGACCTCCTGGAAATTAATGAGCTCCCCAAGCTTATTACGCATGTAGAAAAATATAATGTAAAAAATGGTATCAAAAACATCGAAATTTTTCTAACAACACTATTAAAAAAAAAGGGAGACCAAAATTTCCGGAATAAGTGCCGGTAGAAAAAATTATCAGATTGTGGTT